TTGTAGTGCTAGCATAGCAATAGCCTTGTAAAGCTGGTGAACAAGTAATGTTTTTGATATCTTCCTGCTCAGGCTCACTTGATTTTAACTGCGGAATTAGCTCCTCAGTCTTCAACAGTTTCTTCAAGGGAAATTTCTAAAACAGGCTGGGAACTGGCACTCCCATGATGGTAGCACACCCTTGCTAATGCTAAAACAATAGTCTGATGTAGCGTAAAGTTAGCTACACTAAAGATAAATCCCTGTTTGTTTCCCTGCCTCCTCTTCCACAGTTAGCTTAAAGTTTACAGATTGACATTAATTCAGTGTAGGTTGAGTTAGCATCAAAGCTAAGTTAGCATGCTAAGCTGACTGAGGCAGACCCTGCAGTGCATGCTGGGAACTGGGGTGTATTCTCGTTGATTGACAGCTCCCTCTTGTCCATGTGTAAGTCTGATTCCATTTTGTTGTTCTTCACTGTACAAAGAGTAAAGAGGGCTTGTTTTTACCTTTTTGCTGACGTATTTCGGCTCCCACTGTAGCCTTCATCAGAGCAACGCCGATCAAGGAAAATGGTAAAAGCAAGCTCTATTTACTTTGTGTTTAGTGAAGGACCAAAACGAATAGAATCAGATAAAGAACACAGAACGGACGTAACAAAAGGACAGTGCTCTAGGCTCATGTAAATGATTTATTTTGCTATAGAGGACAGGGGAGGGACTTGGAGGAAATGTAAATTATGAAAGATTTTATATCATAGAACAGGGTCCGATTTTTTTGAGTTTCTTTAAACATTTTAAAATAAGGCAGAACAACCAGAGCTGCTTGTTTTGAGATTCATTTTGATGAAAATTTGATCCTGTGCAAATTATGGGTAAAGAAACAAAACAGAAAATATTTACATCTGCATTCTTAACTATGAGCAGTTTTCACACACGTGTGTTTAGGTCTGGCCCTTCTTTCTGATTCCTATAAATCAGATGGATCTCCACTCTCTTAAACGCCCAGTGAATGGTGTCATGAACATCATGCTGACGAACATGAGTTCATCCCGATATTACATTATAATGTCACAATCACATGTTTACTAAATCATCTGCAGCCATTTGCTGCCACCGAACGACAAAGACCTTACTGTGTTTTATTTGACGTTTCGTCTGGCGTCTGGTTTTTTGTTTGGCTCGAGGGGCTTTCATTAAAAATCTTTTGAGAAAACAAATCCCAGGAGCTCTTCAGCCAAATCGATATTTTCATACTCAATCTGTCAACAGTGTGCGCTTGGTAAGAGGATTTTTTTGTGTGTGAATTATATGCAAACCCACAAATTGAAGGCCACAGTTCTGAGTGAAAGAAAGGAGCCGTGGCATTCACAGGACTGGAGAAAGGCTGGAAAATCAGAGCATCATTACATGTCTCAGTATTCTTCATGTGCTGTTCTGAAGTCAGTCATTAACAACGCTCAGGCTGAATGACCCAGCTGCCTGTTTGATAAGTGACAGGTTCTGGGTTTCATTTAAAGTTGGTAACAATCCACAACTGCCAAAAAAAAAATTATAATAATAACGGGGAGGAAAAAAACATTTGACGACTAATGCCGCCTGTCTCACTGTCTGGATAAACTCTGTAATTACTAACATTTAACCGCTGATCTTCAAAATCCTGAGAAGCAGACAGAATAAGTGGAAGCAGAGCACACACACACACACACTTAGAGGGAAAAATATAATAAATGCACGCGCCTTTGGAGGAAACTGACTGGCATCGATGTTTAAAATAATAAGATGCAGCTGCTGATCGTAGCGACTGTCTCTAGGTTTACTTCCCTGTGGCCTCCACGGCAGCAGAGGAACGGTGATGAAGGCAGACAGCTGACAGGTGCTCCAGGATGGCACTGCCATCAGGTGCATCTGCTAAACTTAGAGACAGGGAGACGCAGGGAAAAAAATAAGAAAGCATGAGTGGGGAGGAGGAGAGGAGTGGCCAAAAAAATAAAGGGTTTATGGAAGATAGTGGAGCTGGCAAGGGAGGAAGAATGTGTGTGTGTGTATGTGTGTGATGGTGTGCTCCTTGAAACTTTATGCCAACAGTGTGTGTAAAGAAACTCACGGGGTGCCTTTGAACCTGTGAGGCTGACGGAATAGGTGCCTCTGCGTCTAGACACCAATGCTCTGAAAGGCTAACAAGTTTAGTGAACAGGTCAGGAGATGGGGAGGCAGAGGAGGAAAGGTAACAAGGAGAGATAATGAGCATGTGCAGAAAATGAAGAAGAGAGGAGGGTGAGGCGTAATATAAAAGGAAGGAATATTAAGCAAAAGGTGCAAAAAGTGTGTGTGTGTGTGTGTGTGTGTGTGTGTGTGTGTGTGTGTGTGTGTGTGTGTGTGTGTGTGTGTGTGTGTGTGTGTGTGTGTGTGTGTGTGTGTGTGTGTGTGCAGAAGATAGGCACTTTGCCATATGTTTGTTATTACTGCATGCATCAGCACTTTGCAGCTACATGCTTTCCAACTCTTGTCGTAAAAAGCAGCTTGGGTGTGAGAACACATCCTGGATGAATTCAACGTGTGCTGCTGTGACAGCAGTGACGCTCGCGCTCTGTCAGACTTTAATAAAAAGGTGCAGCCTTCAGGAGCTGAGGCAGGGGTTGGAACCCTTCCTCAAAGCAGGGGCCGAGCACTGAGGAAATGTTTGCTCGCTCCTTTTTCTTTTTGGGAGGGCACAGCGAAGTAAAAGTTGACAGGGAGTGTGTAACCAAGCAGTTGATCTTACAGACCTCCAATCTCTTGTTTGTGTGCGTGTGTCCTGCTTTTCTGACATGCACACACACTTGAGCGTGCAAACGCACAGCAGAGAGCTTTGAGAGGAGACCGACGGAGCCCGGCGCATCACAGGTAGCCCGACGAGAGTGGCTCGGTGCGCTGTCACCAATTTGTTCGTAGCCATGGGGCACATGGAGGGGATGGAGAGGCAGTGGCAGCTCCCTGTCCTCATCATGGCTAATGAGACCTCGGCTTCTTCTTCCTCTGTGTGTGTGTGTGTGTGTGTGTGTGTGTGTGTGTGTGTGTGTGTGTGTGTGTGTGTGTGTGTGTGTGTGTGTGTGTGTGTGTGTGTGTGTGTGTGAGTGAGTGAGTGAGTGAGTGAGTGAGTGAGTGAGTGAGTGAGTGAGTGAGTGAGTGAGTGAGTGAGTGAGTGATAGCAGTTTGTAGAAGTTTGTGTCAGAGTGCTGCCAAAGCTTCTGTTTCTGAATAAACCTGGGCCGATGTCTGACACGGGCCACAGTTTACTCCTTTATACAAGTCTCCTAGCTTTATAATTTACCTGATCAACACACACACACACACACACACACACACACACCACACACACACACACACACACACACACACACACACACACACACACACACACACACACACACACACACACACACACACACACACACACACACACACACACACACACACACAGAAAAAGAAGAGATCAGGTCCAATCCAGTAGCTGAGACTTGGTTTTCTGTGCCGGTTCACCCATCTGAAGCTCATCAGAGGAGGGTGGAACCAAAGAATAAAGAGGCTCCTGCTGTGATAATTACAAACAAGATTATTTGTTTTTTCAGAGCATGATGAAACAAACATCTCACCACCAGGAAGGGCCTGTGTTTAGCATCAGCCTGCTCACAGACCTTATTCCATCTACACATCATCATGTCGACACATTTTACCTTAACTTTGGGGGGTGCATGAGTGGCTTGATGCTGCTTTAAGTGTAAAGACTATTAAGAGTACAAAGTGGTGTAATTTAATGAGAGAAGTGGTTTCTCCTGAGGGATAGAGACTGAACCAAAATGTAATTGTGTGTCAGGAGCTCTCCCATGTGTTCACAAAGGACAACTGCAGCCTAGAACCATACTGTGTAATAAAATGTTTGATTAAAAAAAGGGAATTAAACTTAATTTATTCTATAACTCTGCTTGCTGCTGGTTCTTATAACACCAAATACCTGCCGAGATGAAAACACACGGATGTCAAACACACTACACACTACACACACACACACACACACACACACACACACACACACACATTTTTGTTTTCACAATCTTCCATTAAATTTGAATTATTCCAGATAAAACATAACCAGTAATGTTTTGTAGGCCACCAGATGTTTCTACTCTTGATTTAGAACATTTGTTTTTTCCTGCTCTGAGGAACGTTCCCCGTTAAAAATAAAGCCAATTGTTCCAAGCTTTTAAACTGCAGTGGGCTTTACTGTTAATGCAAGCTAACTCACATGAACTTGCTCCTGTTAGAGCTGTTCTCAGTCTGGTCCACACTGAGGTGTTTTTGATCACAAGCCTGAAGGTGTGAGCTGATGTAAAGCTGTCTGGGAATTAAATTTAAAGCTGCTTTGTTCTGAGAAGCTGTCATCTGAGAAGACTTCCTCCAGGTGATTTGTTTTTTTCTTGTTTGACAGAAATGGCCTCTTTCACGTCTCTGACAAAACGTCCACAATATGAACATTACCTCCCTAAAGTCTGTTTTCAATTTTCAGGTGTTGGCTGAAAGCCAACTGGTCATGTAGCCTTTAACCTTTGGCCTGTTGTTAGCGTATGAACGTGTTCTTCTGCCCTTTAATGCGGATGTTATCAAAACCAGCATATTTACGTGTATTGATGCGTCAATAAATATTCATTAATGCTTTGTGCCAATTAAATAAATAAATAAAACCACATAATCTGAATTTTGCAAGTCTACAAGTTTTTGAAATCTGTTGTAAATTTTTTATTTGAAATGTATATTTATTACAAGAAAATATCCTAATCGGACAGAAAGGAGCCACGCTGGTAGGTTTGTGGTTGTTGCAGCATGCTGGTGAACGTGACGCGGCAACTAAAATAAAGAAATGGGAATCTAACATCAGGAAATAGCAGGGGATGAAGAACCTGGAGTGTTCTGCTGAAACTCTAAATGCCTTTTTGTTTCTTGTTTTATTTTTCATGTTCAGAATACATAAATAATAAGGCACAGTTCCAAAATACACCCATAGCTTTAATAAAACAGAAAAACTGGTGTTCCTGTATCTGATACAGCGGGAACCACAACGTAGAAAAGTTTCACCTGAAAGAGAAAACATGAGATGCATGAAGGCAAATAAAAATGGCCGCTGTGATTCTGATCATTCTGTTTGTTTAATGAAGCAGCATGAGAGAGCAGCAGAGCCATCAGGGTGCAGGCGTGGGCGGTTTAAAGAGTCCGGTCTTTCTGAAGTAGCGGACGATGAGAGGCACCGACAGCAGAGTGATGCTGATGCGAACCGGAGCAAAGAGCTTGTGGATGGCGTAGGCCAGGACGAACGTGCTGGTCCCTGCTGCCATTTTGGATTGGACCACCGACTCGTTGAAGCCCAGTTTGCACAGCAGAGCCGCCATGTCGATCCCACTGCAGACCCACAGAAAGATGAACACTGTTAGAAGGCGCAACATCACTCTTCCTTCTTCCATCGGTCACACAAATACATCAAGCTTTGGGAGCTAAGCTGATCTGGAAAAAGCAAAGATCAGAAAAAATCTGAACGTTTTTTAGATGTTTATATAAAAATAAATATAACAAGATTAAGAGAAGCGACCGTTTTTAAAAACCAGACACTCGTGTTTTTGGTTTTCTAAACTGGATTCTTATACAGCAAATATTCAAGACTCGGTTTGTGGGCCAATACCGATTTAAGATTCTTGTTAGTTTGGGCAATGTTTACAATTTTTTCAACCAAAAATCATCAGTCCATCCATCCTCCAAACACAATGGTTCTTAATCAGTTTGCAGAAGCAGATCATGAGGGGTCCACATGTGAGACATTGCTGTTTTCAGAGTTTCATCGGCTATTTGATGCTTCAATCAATAATATTTAGGAGTACATAAAGAGGAGCAAAAGACATGCTAATTTGCCCGTGATCTCCAGCTTTCACTGGAGCGGTCTGCAGCAGAGTGTGAAGCAGCTGGGGTGAGAATCAGCTCCTCTAAGTCCAGGACCATGGCCTTGAATCAGAAAAGGATAGAACGCCTTCGCCAAGTCAGGGATGAGGTCCTGCCCCAAGTGAAGGAGTTTAAGTATCTATTCACAAGTGAGGGAAAGATGGACTACAAGATCAACAAGCAGATTGGTGTTGCAGTGATGGGGACATTGTACCGATCTGTCATGGTGAAGAGAGAGCTGAGCCGGAAGGCGAAACTCTCAATTTACCGATCGATCTACGTTCCTACCCTCATCTATGGGCACGAGCTTTGAGTAGTGACCAAAAGAATGAGATCAAGGATACAAGTGGCCAAAATGAGTTTTCTCTGCAGGGTGACTGGGCTGTCCTTTAGAGAGAGGGTGAGGAGCTCGGTCATCCGGTAGGGGCTCTTAGTAGAACTGCTGCTCCTCCACGTCAAGAGGAGGACGTTGAGGTGGCTCGAGCATCTGGTTAAGATGCGTCCTGGACGTCCAGCCGGGAGGAAACCTAAAGGAAGACCAGAGCACGCCTGGCCACGGAAAGCCATAGAATTCCTTGGGAGGAGCTGGGGAGAGGGAAGTCTGGGCCTCTCTGCTTAGGCTGCTGCCCCTGCGACTTGACCACGGATGAGTGACCAAAAATGGATGGATGGACCCAAAAGTATGAAAAAGATAACAATGCTCTCGAGAAATAAATAAATAAAACAATCGGTGAAGCAGTTGGCCTATCGCCAATAAATTTGTTCAACATTAGTTCTTGTATCAATCTCATGATTTACATGAAAATGAAGTTTGTGCTTTGTTGGGAGTGGATTAGCACTTAGTTTTTTCTGATCCACAAACTCACCACTATTACTGCTTTGTGCCTTCACTGACCACACGGAAAATGAGACTGGTAACACTTTATAATAAGGGCCCTTCTATTAATGTTACTTATTGTATCATTAAGCATTAATAAACCAAGGGTCCCCTTATTACTCTTCCAATTATTAACTATTAAGTGTCCTTAAGGTTAGGACAAAATGTGAGGGGTTGTGTCTGCATAGTAATGCATTACTTAATATTAACATTAATATAAAACAGTTAATATTGTTTAATAGTTTATTGATGCTTAATATTGCACTAAGTAACATTAATAAAGTCACTGTTATGGTAAAGTGTTCCCATCAGACTTTTTGAACATTTAGGTTGATTGTACTGGAAACTGGCTGAATTTGATCACCAGCTCTTTTTTTGGTGCATCTTTGAAAAAACATGAAAACTACCCATTTAAATCTTGCAGAGTGTTGTTAAAGTAACCTGCAGATAACATTACTGAACTGCACTGTTATTCTTCTGGTTAAGACATGTAGTTCATGTAGTCTCCACCAGAGGGCGGTGTGTTCATTAAGGACTGAAGTTTATCTCACATTCCTGTTAAAACAAATGGTGACATCAGCCTTCACCTCTCCTACATTCACAAACTTTAACCACCCAGAGGCTTCTCTGCCTTCATGAAACAAGCTTTTGTGTTCTTCTTCCGCGGCGTTCCCGTGTGAGCTATTTAGGGAAATAAATATGTAAGGAATGTAGCTCTAAGCCACTTCTGTCAGTGCAAATTTTCTCATATGTTAACAGCCTCACTGCAGTCAGCAAATTCAGGTCTGTAGAAAATCCATCAACTATTTTTCCTCTGCATGCGGCGTATTAGCAGGACACACGCCTGGACTCTGTGGGCTCAGAGAGATGACGCTCAGAGATGGATGGCTGCACAGTCACTTCTCGTTGTATGTGTCATGATCAGCTACAGGAGGAAATCTCCAAGCTGTCACATCACATCTGCTAAATCTCTGTTACATTGGTGTCTGGTTCCCACCCCCACGCACGCACACACACATACACACAGATGATGGGACTTTTAACTTAAAACAGGATAAAACATCCTGCTTTTGGTCCGTTTTATCCGATAAATGGCAACAGAACTCGTGAGCTAAAATAACAGGTCCTGTGTCTTCCATTGGAGGCGGTTGGGTGTGAAGGGGTTACATTCCACAACATACCAGCAGTCTGAACTCTGCGTCTAAAACAAATATTTTCCCAACATGCTCTCACGATACTTGATGACATCAGTAACAAAATATTCGACAGATTCCAGTGTTGCTGCATTTGTACTTTGGCTCAAATGTACACATTTATAATTCTGCATTTAGCTGTGGGACAGATCAATTACAACTAGGGATGCTCCGATCAGGTTTTATTCTGCCGATCACCGATACCGATCAGCCAAGAAGCCGATCATGGCCGATCAGCCGATTACCGATACCAATTACATAGATTGGCTGTAAATTGTTCATTTAGCTATGGTGAGTTCTAATGCATGTGTTACATATTAATTCAGAAAAAACATGGTTTTACTTCACTTCAAATTATGTAATATCAGTAACAATTTATAAGAAATTGAAAACATTAAGGCTCTCTTTAGGCTACAAATAGTGCAAAAAAAGTCAATATCTCACATCACCGCCTAAATTAAATTAAGTAACCAAGGATACATTCAGATACATCCAGTGAGCTGTTATCTCAGCATTGACACAGGACTGACATCTGAGCTCCAAATGTCACTTGTGAAACTCACAGAGGATGAGACGCTTTCTTTAAGGAGAACCTCGATGAAAGAATACACTGTCTGGTGGAGCTCTGGAAGGGCTACGTCGGCGAAATATTTACATCCCCGTAGCATGTAACGAGGTTCCAAGTGGGTTAGTAGTCGGCGGAATCCGGCATCTTCCACAACTGAAAAAGGCTGGTCGTCTAGTCCAATAAACTCGATGATTTTACGGGTAATTTGCTTAGCCTTTTGACTGTCACTCTCATAAGGGCGAATGTTTCCAAGCGTCGGCTGCGTTAGCTGCTGTCTGACTGTGGCTGCATTAGCAGGCTTCTTTTCATTGTCTGCGGTGAGCCTCAAAAACTCACCATGCTCCGCCAAGTGTTTAGTCTTTAAATGTCGGATCAAATTCGTTGTGTTGAATTTTTTTGAAGTGCTTCCTCCATGGGGTATGTTTTCGTCGCAAGTGTTGCAAGACGCAAACTTAATATCACTCTCGCACACCGTAAAGAAGTTCCACACGGCAGACATGTTTGTCTTTGCGGGTTTGCCGCCAGGCGCATGCGCACTAAGCGGGGAGAAGCAGAAGGGTGAACTACCGGCCGGGAAGAGTAAGCGCCAGTGCCAGATCGGAAATGAAAGGCAGTGATCGGCGATCACAGATCACACTTTTGCAGGAAAATCGGCCGATAATTATCTGTGGCCTATCAATCGGAGCACCCCTAATTACAACTATTGTTGCTAATGGAGAATATCTGGTCCTCAGACACACTGTAAAAGTTTACAAGTCAATCTCATTTAGAAGTGATTAGTTTGTAGCTGCTTGATGTGTAAAACAAAGTAAAGCTGTATGAATCAGAGTTGTAAATAAAGTTTGAGTCCGTTTCTGCAGAAACACAAACAAAATTAAAAGCATCGCTTTTAGTTGTTAAAAAGGTTTTTTTTCACCTGTCTGGCCATTGGATCGGCCATCTGTGAGTTCTGGTGAATCCCAGAACAGCCAGTGTGCTGCGGGCCAGGTTTTGGCACTAACTACTCTCACCCCACACTCTTGCATGCCCACATATTAGCTCCACTGAAATAAGTTCCCTCCATGCTGTAGTAGAAGATGTCAATGCTGCTTCTTGGCTTTAGAGTAAGGATGTCAAAGATTATCGACCAATATCTGCATCAAAAAGAAATGTAGGAAATTATCAGAAAATGGATGGATGGATGGATGGATGATAGAAAATAGGTGATTTTAGTTACCTAAAATCACTTTTTATGAAGAGGGGGCCTTGCATATATTAGAATTGGACTGGACTGCCTTATATCGGCGAAGAAGCCTGGTATTGGACATCGCTATTTAGGGTGCAGTTTACCAAAATAAAATCTCTTTATTGTAGAATTCCAGAGCCTTTGCTGCAAACATGTGTATGCTAAAGACTAAATGCAACGATTCGTACAGCATATGTGTTACCTGGATATAAGGAGGTAGAACATTCCCAGAGACATGAGAGAGATCCCAACATGGAAGGAAACCCCCACTGCTCCATACTCTTTGAAGACTTTCTTTAGCTGCTGGGTCTTGTTAGGTTTTCCTTCCTCTGGCTCCGGTTTGTCCGCCGGACTCTGTTCTGAGGCTGAGGTGCTGGAGGCCTCCTGGAGATCCTAAACAAATAGGATGGAGTGAAATAATTTTGGCTTTAAGCAGTGGATGAATGGTGTTGCGACTGTTGGTCAACAAAGCCTGAACTTTGATGAGTTTTCTGTGCTTTATCAGCTGACTCAGATGAACCGCTGCTGCTGTCATTTAGGTAATTCACATTAACACCCACCCTCTCACACACTCGTTAAAGATGTCAGTCACTGCGTCACACATACACACACACACACACACACACACACACACACACACACACACACACACACACACACACACACACAAGAGCTTCTTACAAGCACACACACACATTAGTCCTTTGGTGACCTCCTGACTCTCCACTATGCACCACACACTCGGCAGCCGTGGCACATGTAGTAAGGAGGGTGTGTGTGTGTTGGGGGAGGCTAACACCAAAGCAACAGGACGACAACACTACAACTAACACAGAAGTAGTGGTGTGGACGTGAGACAGGCAGTAGAGCAACATGATCCTTTAACGGCAGTTTGCAAGTCATGGTTAAAGCAACAGAAGCTGAAAACCTTGTTTACGACCAGTCGTGCGATAGAGTGTGATGTGGTGGAACAGAGAGGAGTTTTTCTATGAATTCATTTAGTCACATTTAATCAAAAGGCTCCTTTGCTGCCATATTGCTACAGTCTAAGAAAACAGGAAATGCCTCTGTCCTATTTTCAGGTCAACTACTGACTCGGCCTCTGGAGCTGAACCAATACAGAGTGAATCCTGCCTACTGGAGACTATGGTTGATCTCTAGCATGCTCCCGATTTCTCAACCTTCCTAAACTCTTTTTGTCCTCCACTTAATGTTTTCACTTTTTGTTACGTCTGCCTGTATGCACATGCCTTGGTTTAGATGTGTTGCACATTGTTTTAGCTATAGATACAGATTTGCATAATCATTCTGCTTTATAATGCTTTAATGTAGTCTTGCCTTCCGAATGCAGCTCACATCTGCCCCTTATAAAAGCTAAACAAGCATCTTAAGGTGGTATTTAAAAAACTCTCTGTGCAAGTAAAAATGGTAGAACAAGAGCAAAACACACAGGTGGCATGTGATGCGTACCATGAAGCATTATTTTTATTTATGACCCCCACACACCGTGTGGTACTCCGTGCACAACCTTCCTGTTTGGACATACGGGCTTCCGTAGCAGCTTTTCTCTCCTTTTATGGCAGCACACTAAGCATTTGTGTATTCTCATCATCATTTAAACAGAACATTTTATTTCATTTTAATTAGTTTTGTCAATGTGTGTTTTAAACAAATTTCTAAATGTTTAGTATTTCTTTGATTCTTATTGTAAATAGCCCCAATGTTGGACATTTATATGGTAGCTGACTTTAATTCTTATGTGATGAGTCGGTTCAGTCTCACAATTTAGGGTTTTTTAAATACAGTCAGATCCATAAATATTGGGACATCGACACAATGCTAACATTTTTGGCTCTATACACCACCACAATGGATATCAAATGAAACGAGCAAGATGTGCTTTAACTGCAGTCAGCTTTTATTTGAGGGTATTTACATCCAAATCAGGTGAATGGTGTAGGAATTACAACAGTTTGCATTTGTGCCTCCCACTTGTTAAGGGGCCAAAAGTAATGGGACAATTGACTTCTCAGCTGTTCCATGGCCAGGTGTGTGCTATTCCCTCATTATCCCAATTACAATGAGCAGATAAAATATCCAGAGTTCATTTCAAGTGTGCTATTTGCATTTGGAATCTGTTGCTGTCATCTGTCAAGATGAGATCCAAAGAGCTGTCACTATCAGTGAAGCAAGCCATCATTAGGCTGAAAAAACAAAAGAAACATACCAGAGAGGTAACAAAAACATTAGGCGTGGCCAAAAAACAGTTTGGAACATTCTCAAAAAGAAGGAATGCACTGGTGAGCTTAGCAACACCAAAAGACCCGGAAGACCACGGAAAACAACTGTGGTAGATGACCGAAGAATCATTTCCCTGGTGAAGAAAACACTCTTCACAACAGTTGGTTAGATCAAGAACACTCTCCAGGAGGAGAGTGTATCTGTGTCAAAGTCAACAATCAAGAGAAGGCTCCACCAGTGTGAATACAGAGGGTTCACCACAAGATGTAAACCATTGGTGAGCCCCAAAAACAGGAAGGCCAGATTAGAGTTTGCCAAACAACATCTAAAAAAGCCTTCACAGTTCTGGAACAACATCCTATGGACAGATGAGACCAAGCTCAACTTGTACCAGAGTGATGGGAAGGGAAGAGTATGGAGACGGAAAGGAACTGCTCATGATCCTAAGCATACCACCTCATCAGTGAAGCATGGTGCTGGAAGTGTCATGGCGTGGGCATGTATGGCTGCCATTGGAACTGGTTCTCTTGTATTTATTGATGATGTGACTGCTGACAAAAGCAGCACAATGAATTCTGAAGTGTTTCAGGCAATATTATCTGCTCATATTCAGCCAAATGCCTCAGAACTCACTGGACAGCGCTTCGCAGTGCAGATGGACAATGACCCAAAGCATACTGCAAAAGCAACCAAAGAGTTTTTGAAGGGAAAGAAGTGTACTGTTTTGCAATGGCCAAGTCAATCACCTGACCTGAATCCAATTGAGCATGCATTTCACTTGCTGAAAACAAAACTGAAGGGAAAATGCCCCAGGAACGAGCAGGAACTGAAGACTGTTGCAGTAGAGGCCTGGCAGAGCATCATCAGGGATGAAACCCAAAGTCTGGTGATGTCTGTGTTCCAGTCTTCAGGCTGTAATTGACTGCAAAGGATTTGCAACAAAGTACTGAAATGTATATGTTTGATCTATGGTTCTTATTCTGTCCCACTACTTTTGGACCCTTAACAAGTGGGAGGCACATATGCAAACTGTTATAATTCTTACACCGTTCACCTGATATGGATGTAAACACCCTCAAATAAAAGCTGACAGTCTGCAGTTAAAGCACATCTTGTTCGTTTCATTTGATATCCATTGTGGTGGTGTATAGAGCCACAAATGTTAGCATTGTTTCGATGTCCCAATATTTATGGACCTGACTGTAACTATTAAACAGCTCAACTGCCTTCTTAAAGGGATACAATGCAACCTTTTCATAATTTTAAATCATTTTCTTGAGCCAGTATGTGCTAAAACGACCCTTTACAGGGTTAATGAAATGTCACTCAGATCCCACTGCCCTCTTTGTCCAAAATATCACACTTGCAGCTTTAGTGTGTTGGTCCCAGTCCCTTTGTGGAACTGACATACCTGGCGTTGCAGTCTGCTTCCAGCACATTTCCTGCATGTTTTAGATAATGAACACAGCTGATTTGTTTGATCTGGTGATGAATCACTCCTGTAGAAACTAAGGAAGGCTGAGGAGACATTTCGGATGTTAGATTAAGGTGCTAAAAAAATGAATGCACAGTGAGGAGATAAGTTTCACTTTACTTTGACTAACAGACACTAAGGGGAGCTAAAAGCAAGCCAAAACTGCAAAGTATCCCTTTAAAATGTGAACTCTGAATGTTTCCTTACTCACTGATCATGTTAAATAATTAAATTAAATAATTCTGATTCTTAAATTGAAGTTATTGTGATTTTTAACTTTTTTTCCATAATCAAGTCTTTACATTATAAGTATTTAATTCTAAGGGTTTATACTTTTGTGACTGTGTTACTCTAACCTTTATTTTAATTAATTATTTTACAGACGATCATGTTACATTGTGACTGAGTACAATCACTTATCTAATTCAGGAGAGGAACAAAAACAAAGACTAGCTGATCTTTTCTCTAAGCTACAATTTGTATCCCTAAATTTTGGCCCAGGCTTCCAGGATGAAGCCATTGCCTTGGCCACATTTTCTCTAGGCTGCCATCAATGGACAATAGAAAGAGTCCAGAGAGGGTGAGGGATCAGGCCTTGGCTTTTCAGAGGAGAGAAAGCTAAAAGTAAAGGCAGGAACCACTGTGGGAGGGTCATGTGAGCGAGCAGCTAAAGGGAGATGTGCCAGGAAGGTTGTATAGGGGTGGAACAGTGGGACTGCTGTGTCTGATAACAGCTTTTCAGTTGCATGAAAACACATGCAAAGTCACAGTGGCATGCAAACAGAGACAAAGGCGCACTCATGCACGGGGCAAATGGGTTCAGAGCAGGAATGAAAATGGTAAACTGCAGATTATGTCAGCTAAGTGTTGTAAAACATCTAACTCCCGCAACATAATTGTCTTATTCTGGAAATTCTCAGATTATTTTATAAACATGCAACTATACATTTAGTACTGTTACTAGTTATACCCCGGTATTGAAGTGTGGGCAAATACAACAGATCAAGCTTGCAATTTGAAAGTAGTCTTTGAGCCTCTGTTGAGCTTATGAAACTTTGTTGGGACTCACGATAACCCAGGGTCCTGACAACTGGCCAGACACAACCCCATAATAAAACCCACTGGACCAGAATATGAATGTCCCAAATTTAGGAAAACATCCCATGGAGCAGTTTGTAGGTTGACAACAATCATTTGCGTGAAGTTTGGTGTGAATTGCATTATGCATGTGTTATTCAGGGCCTAATATCTGTCAGGGGGCGGAGCTAAAAAGATATCAACCAATGACCACATGATTGTATTGGGTGCCTTTGTGTGATGACACATAGCAAGTTTGGTGCAGTTACGACCTCGTCTGTAGGAGTTATTACAGTTTTAAAGGTGTGTAGGGGCGCTGTGGTGATATTATACAATGTTCACCAACCGTTTGTGCCTCATTGGCTAAAGGGCATGATTGTTGATTGCCATGTTCAGTCTCATGCAGATCGGAGGCTGTTTGTGGAAGTTACAGTCAAACGTAAGGTCACGACGTCACGCCAGATTTCGCCATGGCATCAAAGCCCCTCCCTTTCTGGAAAGCTATCAGAACTGAATGGTCATTACAGCATCATGAAGACAGTCTATGACCTTAGTGTCATGCTGACTAAATTAGAGGGGACAAATATGGGCATTTCACCATAAAACAATAGACTTCCTGTTGACAGGGGGTGGAGCTTAGGTGATGTCAGCTGTCCACATTGTCATTGTCTTGAGATGTGGTCAGTGATCACACAGATAATGTTTGATATAGATTTGATCATGCGCATGGAAGTTCTTACGTCAAGTAATAATGGCGAAAGGTCAAAGTTTGAGGCTTAGCCATGCCCACACCTTTCAACTTTTGAAAAATCCAACGGTTTATTTTTTCCCCTATGTCTTAAGAGTATATAGCAGAAGTTTGAAGGCGATTGGTGAAAAGGGCAATGGGGCATCACTCTCCAAACGACGTGTGCGAAAACCACTAAATCGAGTACTTGGACAAAAATGGCTGACTTCATGTGCAACCTTGACCTTGGCTCCAAGAGACTTTTTTGTAGGTCCCAAGGCACTACATTAGTGTACCAAATTTCGTAGTTCTCAATTAAAGCACGGCTTTGGGCTGACAGTTTTAATGGTTCTAGGGTGTGCTACTTCAGAAAATAGACCACGCCCACCAACCAATCACGTTCATTTCTATTGGGGATCAGACTAGAATTACTCACCATAGATTTCGTGTCGATATCATGATAACTGAGGAAATGAGATGCCAACGTATTTACATGGCGTAATGGCGAATTTTGCCATGCTCCCAAAGCCCCGCCTTTGAAACCTGTCAATACTGGACACCAAGTTACCTCAACTTTTCTACTGCTATTTGCCAGTGATTGCTGGTGATTGGGTGAAAGGAGTCAAATAGCGAGCTGTGAAAAAAAGAGTGGCGTGGCGACAGATCAAAGTTTGAGGCTTAGCCACGCCCACACCTTTAAACTTTTGAGAAATCCGACAGTTGAATTTTTTTCCTTATAGCTTAAGAGTATATAACAGAAATTTGAAAGTGATCGATGAAAAGGGCGACGGTGCATCATTCTCCAAACAACGTGTGCGAAAACCACTAAATCAAGCACTTGGACCAAAATTGCCAACCTCCTGTGCAACTTTGCGCTTGGCTCCAAGAGACTTTTTTTGTAGGTCCTGAGACACTACATCAGTGTACCAAATTTTGTAATCCTCAGTCAAAGCATGGCTTGGGACTGACAGTTTTAATGGTTCTAGGGGGCGCTATTTAAGAAAATAGGCCACGCCCACTGGAATTTCACATCAGATTTTTTGGGGGGTCGAACTAGGATCACTCACCAGAAGCTTTGTGGCGATATCTTTAGAAATGACAAAATTGGAGGCAAACGTATGGCCACGGCTTGACTTCGCCGAGCCACTACAGCCCTGCCCTCTTTTGAAAACTCCCATACAGTGACGCCAAGCAACCCCCACTTGTCTTGAGTTACCAGCTACAAATATGTGGTGATTAAGTGAAATGGGGCGATTTGGGACCTATGACAGTAAAACTTGACCTTTTTGGTCCTGGGGGGGTGGGGCTTGTGTGATGTAATCATCCGACCATTCAGTTTAGTTTGTGGCTGGATGTCAAATGACCACAGAAATTTTTGTAACTCTACTCTATTTGAGTATGAAGTTATAGCCATTTATACTTTTTTTGAGTAGTCGAACTTCGAGGCCTGGCCACGCCCCCTCAGCATATACGAAAAGTCAGTTTTATTTTTTCTATTTGATCGCCCATCCCTTCTGAGCAATTTCCCACAACTATGGAGACGATCATGCGAAAAATTATCGAGTAAATCCATCAGAAGTGGATCCCAGAAATGGCCAAAAGGGTTCAAAATCACCACTTCAAACCAAAATGGCCAACTTCCTGTTTGATGTTGACCATGGTTACAAGAGGCTTTTCTGTGTGGACTGTTGAGTACTACAAGTGTACAAAATTTCATAACTGTACGACAAACTAAGGTTTATGGAGGGGGGTATTTTTCCACATTCTAGGGGGCGCTGTGGAGCTAGTTTTATTGCTATATTTTTGGGACCTTTAAAATACAAAATTTTACACCACGCCTGACATGTGCAAAAATTCCTGAGTTTTCGGGTATGTTAAAGCCTCCAAAAAGCCAATTTACTTGGCAGGAGAAAAATAAACAGAGCATAACACCATATTGGAGCAGGCGGAGGGAGACTAAGGGTCTTAGCACACCTCTGTTGTCGCTTGGCTTCCTGGGGCTGGAGGCTAGGAGGGAGATCTGGCCGTCCGGTTGGGGTCTGGGGTGGTGGATTGCTGTGCTCAGCGTTGGACGGGGGAGCCTGCTCATCAGCACCCCAACAGAAAGGGTCGAACTCTTGGAACCAGTAATGGTTGTACCCCATTTGCAGCAGTACCTGGACCAGAGTGAATAGGGTGTGCATGGGGAGCGTGAGTGGGTGTCCGGCGTGCATTTTTGTAAGTCTTTGGTTGTGTGTGTTTGTGTGAGCATGAGGGAGGGAATGTGTGACTGTGTCTGTGTATGACTGTACAGTATATGTCAGGTGGGACCTTTGACTCCTCCCTTCTCCTGGGACTTCTTTTGATATAGATCTTTGTCTCCCCTCTTCCTGCCACACCTGGTGTGGTGTGCGGTGCCTTGGTCTGCCTGGGTCGGGGCTCCCGGGTCAGGGAGTTAAGATTTTTGGCATCTGCCTGACCAATCCCGGTGGCTGCCTGGTGGGGTCTGGGTCCCTGGGCTTTGCTGGGTCCCCGGCCGGGGTGGTCGCCCCTGGGTCCGGGGTCATCGGGTCCCGGGCTCGGCCGGCTAGGGGGTGGGAGGCTGCGGGCGGGCCTGTGGGTTTGCCGCCGATATCTCCTGGGACTCTGCCGGCTGCTGGTTGTGGTCCCCGGGGCGATCCTCTGCACCTCTCGAGGGGGGCGGGGGCTTTTCTGGTCACAGTCTCCCTGGAGTTCCTGTGCTCTGGGGAAACTCCTGGATCTCTGGGACTTGGAGCTCCCTCCGTCTCCTACACATCTTTGGGGGGCAGATCTGTGGTCCCTCACACTCTCTATTGGACGCTCCTATCGAGAAACCTTACATAAACAAGTGCGTGTACACACACAGGTGCTCACATGGTGCCCTCATAAGTATGGGCTTGGGCACGTTCAACACAGGTCTTAAGACTGTGGCGGGCACTTAATGCACTGTGATTTGTTATTGTGTGATTGTTCAGTTAAACAATGTTGATTATATATTTCTTCAAGTTGACACAGTGATAGCTTGGTTTTGTTGCATTGTTGTTGTGTCCCTTTTTTTTCTCTCTCTTTCTGCAGCTGATTCTTGCTCATAATTGTTTATTTTTGTGACCCCCCCCCCCCCATCTTTTGTCTCTTCCTTTCTCTTTCACCTCTGTCTCTGTGTCTGGTCAGAATTACAAAGCATTCAAAAACAATAACAGTAAAGTTTTAAGTATCAGGCGTGACATTAAAAGCAGATGCTTGGATGCTCCACCTGAGAGTAAATCTGTAAGGCTTGTCACCAGCATTCAGACATCAATTCTGTTTGCGTCACAGCCAGACAGGACACCCCAAAAAAAAAAAAAAGAAAGAAAAATAAACAGAGCAAATACAATAGGCCTTTGCAGCGCTTTTGCTGCTCGGGCCTAATTAAAATCATAACTAATGCCTTAACTTTAGATTCTGGAACACATTTTATGAGGACAATAACACTGAGCAGACGCTTTAAAGGTGCATTATGGAGAAATGAAGTAAAAATGACATCCTGTGGTAAAATGTGGTTACTGCAACCACTTTAAACAACTGAAGCTTTTTGCTGACCATCGTCAAATTACAAATGTCGGCACTGCAGTATTAACTCGCAGGAGACATGGCAACCCCCACATTCACTGATGGTAAACAGTAGTTACACCCCTCCTTCCTTTGTTTTGAAAGGAGAAAAACGGACAATCACTGCAGCCAGCTGGATACGAAATATGTTTCAGTATAAAAATGTCTTAAACTTTAGACTCTTCTGGGATTTTCTCTCTGTAAAATTCTCACCTTTAATTCTGCACCTTTAATTGCAGGACTTTTACCTGTGCAGTAAAACAAACTGCTCCAAATCTTATCTCAAATGCACCTTTGACATTTTTGTGTTGCAATTTTTTTATTATTGCTTGTTGCTATCCATCAGGTGGTCCAACGCCACGGCTTTATGTTACAGTTAGAAAATGTGCTTGCAGCATTTTTGCAAACTAATACTCGATAATCAGTAAATAAATGTCATGGAGTTAAACCCCTGCTGTTACCAACTGTTCCTCTGCTGAAAAATATCAGACTGGGTTCTGACCTTTGCCACAGTCCAATTCAAGCACTTTCAATGGGAGTTTCTAAGAGTTTCCAGCGCCGTACACTTTCCACAATATGGCACCTATTTTACTCCCTAGATTAAAACACGTCACGTCAGAGCTTCCATTGGCGTTGTAGTATTTGTTTTGTAAGAACAGCTCTTGAGTTGACTCACCTCTAAGAGCCACGTGCCAAAGAGCAAAGTAAACTCCTTCATCTGCTGGGATGCTGCAGCCAGAAGGACTCAGTCCAGCTGTAACTTCAGATCAAACAGCCTCCTGCATGATTTTGTCATATATTCGTATTTGTGCTTAAGCAGTCAGGCACTATAGCTGTTGCATAACCAGCCTGGTTAGTTACATTCACTCGGCCGCTTTGGGACGTGTGACCGGTCCCTGGAGGTTAAACAAACACTAGTTAACCTGCTTGTTTTTGTTTATTTACCCGTTTGTCCTCATTCTTCGTGTCTGTGGCAGCAGCTCTGCTCTGCGTGCTGCTGCTGGTGTTACCTGTAAACAAAAACACGTCCTTCTGCTTTTTCGTGTCTCCTCCGCAGCTATGGCGCGTCATGCTCAACCCGGAGAGGCTCTTAGCCACGGATCCCACCCGGTTCAGGTGTCCCCAGTCTGAGGTTACAAAACCAGCCGACTTCCTCCAGTCCCGGGATCCAGGTTCCGGTTTACCCAGGTGCGCTCGTTCGACGCCGGACCCTGAGAGGAGCCGGTGCCGCTGAAACGTGCAGCCCGCGCGGGCTGTCAGAGTCTCTCCCGCCGGCCCGATTACTCTAAGTCGCACCAGAACCGAACCAGGACGGATGAAAGCCCGATCCAGAAGCCTCACCGTGCGGCACAAAAGCATGGTCGGTACGCCTCCTCAGGCGGGTTTTAGAAAACCTGATAAAGCGGTGAAACGGCTAATTGTGAGTGAGAGTGGGGGTAAACATGTTGCCCTGTGCCCTCGGTTGGTATATCCCCAAGACCTCCGGTTGACCGATTATCTCCCCCAGCCAATGGGAGCGGACGCGCAATCGCAGATAGAAAAGGAGCAGGAGGAGGGAGGAGGCATTTAAAGGTATAATTCATCTAATTAAGTTACATCACCGACTTTGTGGTGGAAATAGTCCAGATGATGGTTTTAAAAGTAAATCATATCCAACAGAGAGCTGGTTAGAACTAGTGAGGTCAGGACGAGAGTTTTAGGTCTAGTTTAGAAGAATAGAAGCTACTGGTTTGTACAAAAAAATATAAAGAAATGAAAGATCTCAAGACTCAAGACAACTGTATTAGTCCCCGAGGGGCAATTCGAGACAGCATTGTGAAGCAGCCGGCACTAAAATCTCTAAATTCTAAAAACACAACCAATTTACACATTTGTAAAACCCATAAAACCTATATACACATTCATGTCATATCCTCACATGTGAATGACCAACAATGAGTAAACCTTTGGCTCACACACACACACACACACACACACACACACACACACACACACACACACACACACACACACACACACACACACACACACACACACATGCATACATGTAACTACATGCACACACACATACAAGTAATGCACACGCCCCCTATCTGCACTGAGAATTAAGAAGAAGCACAGCTCTGGGAACAAAGGAACTTCTCCTCCTCTGTGTTTTACAGCATGGGCATTGAAGTCGGCGTTTGGAGGGCAGCCACTCGAAAACAGTATGAAGAGGGTGTGATGGGTCTTTAATGATTTTCTGTGCTAAACTTCCTGTATGCTGGTCACATTGAGAAGTTAAGTTTCGCAGTGGTACTCCAAAGATCCGAGAGCACACCTTGACGGTGCTTTGTAGACGGTTTCTATACTTCAGGCTGACAGAATAAAACCAACAGGGGATGGAAAATGTGATAATGCTCTCTATAAAAGAATAATAGAAAGTCAGTAAAATGTCCTTCCTGACTCCAAATGAATTCAACTTCCTCAGGAGGTAGAGTCGTTGCTGGCACTTTCTGAGGATGTCCTCAGTGTTGGAAGCGCAGGAGGTGATCAAAGGTGGTCCCTAGATATTTATACTCTTCAATCAGCTCCACTGGCTGTCCATGAATGATAGCGGAGGCAGCGGTAACCAGCGCTCTCTGTTTGTTTGAGAAGGATACCACCATCTCCTTAGTTTTGGTCACATTCAGCTCCAGGCCTGCAGTGTCACACCAACCCACAAACTCCTGCAGGACCTGCCCGTGGTAAACAGTAGGGCCTGACAGAAGAGACAGGAGCACAGTGTCATCAGCGTATTTTACCATATAACTGTCAGGCTGGATGGATCTACAGTCATCTGTGTAGAGAATGAACAGTAGAGGAGACAACACACAGCCTTGTGGGGTGCCAGTGGAGGTGTAAAGAAGGTCTGAGAGATTAGTCTGCTGCATTTGTCTTTAAAAAACAATGAAACTCAGAAAGCAAACAATACATATATTTATTGCATGTATCATGCAAACTTCAACAAATATGCACAATATGGAAAGCAGCAAACTGCTGTGACATAAAAGCCAAAAAGCAGTAGTGTTTATTTTACCGCATTTTACAGTGAGAGTGAAACAGAATCACTTAACATGGTTAAAACGTGCTATAGACACATTAAAAGCCAAGTACTGTGTGACCCCTATGTATGGGTGTATGTGATCGCCCATCCCCCAGAGTCATTGTCTGCTGTTATCGGAGCTGCTGGGTGTCATCATGGCTCAGACAGATAACGCTGAAGGCCAAAACCCTAAGAGATGAATTATGAGACAGACTTAATGAAAACCAGGGGCATTTCCCTTGCTCTGCATTTTTTCATTTAATTTTCAAGGACTCTGCAAAAATAAATAAATAAAATAAAACAGGTAATGTCAGTGCCATGAGGAATTGGTGACAGCTGTTTTAGTTTAAATGAACACTTCCTATTGCACATCTGCATTATTCATTTTATTAACACCCTTTTGGGCTTTTCTGCCACACCTGCGCTGCATAAACATGCAATTGTAATGAACATTTGCACTCTGTGCAAAAGACAGAACGAAGCGTGATGGTGAGTGGGAGGTGAGATACAGAGGGTGTGAAGGTGGGAGGAAGCCAATAAAAAGCCCGCGGCTCTGCAGAGTCTGACTTTCAGTCAGCAAAGCCACAAACTCGCCATGTGGGATAACTTTTTTTTAAATGTCTCTACTATTCTTTGCATTTGTGGTTTTAATGGGTTGAAATTAAACATGAGTTAGCCAGCCAGGGGTAGCAGTAGAATGATGGCACTAATACCTAAAACTTTGTGTAAATGTAAAAGTTACACTATAATAAATATGTTTATTTCCATCAGTGTGCACTCTACATTTAAAACCTGCGATACGCCGTTGATTCCAGGCGTTCTGCTTGTTTTGTTTGTCAGCCATGATCGTGTTTTAACTCTATACACTTCCTCTTCATTTCCAGCTGAACAATGTGATGTGGTTTTGTTCATCATCCCTCTGCTTCCTAATACATTATGCAACTCACCAGCTGTGTGGTGTGGATTTTCTCATGAGAGCTAGCTACATTTTTCAGATGTAGTTTGTATTCATTTTTAAAGTGTTTTTATTTCCCTCTATTTTAAATCTCTATTTACATAATAGAATCAATGAAAATATGAAAATAAAACTTCTAAATAATTTCTTTTTGGCATCAGTATTTATAACAAAGGTCTCGTCGCTGGCTGTAGAAATCAACACAGTCCGTTGGTTCGAACTCTTTATCACATATTTTTGACCTTGTGGAAACCAAAAATGTAGATTATTTGAATGTGCCTGTTTGGTACATACGTTTTTTATTTTATTTTATACTTTAAAGGAACAATATGTAATAACTTTACTGTGAAATAATCTAAAAACCGTCTGTTTCCCAATTATGTTTGAAGGAAGGTTATAATGAAACAGCTGGCTGGAAGGTTGTTAGTTTTCCTCTTTTCAAAATAGCCAAAGACAGACATACTCTTTGCTTACAATCATTGAACCCGCAGGGTTGCCGAATCTAGGTGAGGTAACGCTGCAACACCAGCATTTGTAATCCAAAAAGCTCCAGAGTTTATTTAAGAAACTGAAGTCAGTAAACAGGAGCGACCCAGAATTTATTTCTTGTACCCCTAAGAAGCTGTAGATGTCATAGCATTGTGTCTATGTGATGTTCAGCTGTAAAACCAGCTTTAAAGCATTTTTTAAAAGAAAATGAGTCTGATAAATAGTCATTACGTAATTTTTATCGATAAGCATATAATCGGTGTATTGCTGAATAACTACACTCTTAGTGAAGACCCCAAGGGAGACTCTGACTTTGCTGCTGGAACTTTTATCTTGTCTTCAGTCTGGGAATGCCTTGGGATTCCCAGGAAGTGCTGGAGGGTGTTTCTAAAGACAGGGACACGCCTTGGATTATGTTTATGTATTTTGCAGACACTTTTGTCCAAAGCAACTTACAAGTGATAATGAAGCCAGCCGGTTTCCCTTGAGGCTAACAACAAACACTAATCAGTCAATCCTAGGTGGCAGTGAGGCAGCATAATGACTCATGAAGGGAAGTGAACAAGGAGTGGACAGTAGAGTGGGGGACGGGTGCAAGGAGGGTCCTAGTTTAAAAGATGCTGTCTGAAGACTTGGGTCTTCAGGAGTTTCTTGAAAGTCGATAAGGAAGCCCTGTTCTGGTAGTGCTCGGTCGTTCCACAGACACATGGAAAGAGTTTGGATTGTCCTGACCATGTTGTAGGCACTGCTAGCCGCCAATCCTTCGATGACCGGAGCAGCCGAGCCGCACCATCCAGGACTTTGTATGCTAGTGCTAGCAATTTGAATTTGATGCATGCAGCTAGCGGTAGTCAATGGAGCTCAATGAACAGAGGGGTGACGTGTGCTCTTTTAGGCTGACTTAAGACCAGACACGCCGCTGCATTCTGAACCATTTGAAGAGGTCTCACAGTACAGGCTGGAAGACCGGTTATAAGGGCATTGCAGTAGTCGAGGCGGGAGATGACAGGGGATTGCACCAGGAGCTGCATGGCATATTGTGTTGGGTACGGTCTGGTCTTTCATATGTTATACAGCAGGAAACGGCATGAACAAATGACAGAGGCAATGTGATTGTAAAAGGTCAGCTGGTCATCAATCACAACACCCACATTTCGAACCGTCTTTGAAGGAACCTGAGATAGGGAATCATTGTGGATTAAGACGTTGTCGTATGGATTGTTTTGCTGGGATGACAAGTAATTCAGTTTTAGAGAGGTTGAGTTGAAGATGGTGGGATTTCATCCATTTTGATATGTCAGGAAGACAGTCCGAGATTCGTGCAGAAACTGTCATCCGGCGGCAATGACAGATGGAACTGGGTGTCATCGGCATAGCAATGGTAGGACAAGCCATGTGATCAAATGATCTCACCTAGTGAGTTGGTGAATATGGCAAATATTGATGATTAAGCTGTATCATGTCTTTATGGGATTCACTAACTTTAGCAAAACGCTACTAATGGAAATTAACCGATAAGTTGTTGACTCGGGTATTTTAAACTCTTGAAAGCTTTAACAAACTCAGCAGGAACAAGTGGACAAACTGAGCCTTACCTCCAGAGATCTAGCCATCTGCTTTCTTTTATGCATCCGTTTTTCACCCCTATGACAACAACTGCCTCCTTTTGGTGCATTTGACTACTTCCTGCTGCACACTCACAGCTCTTTATTGGTCCTTCTGCTACTTCTGGATTCAGACTGCATTGCTCTTCAGTGAAGAGGCCTGAAGGACCTGGATCTGAGCCAGCTGGCCTGCATTCAGTATAGACGAGGCACAAAAGCAAAGACAGGCAGCATTAAGAACGTTCATGCAGTGCAGATCATGTGTTTTCAGCTCTATTGTACTCCTCTCTATGCTTCAGTTGCACTGACTATGCCTTTTTCTCTTTTTAATTGTTGAGCTAACAGAGGCCAGTAGGTTTTTATGACAAATGCTGTCCTGCAAATACCCTAACCCTTCTATAAAAACATGACTCGATCTATGTGAATGCTGAAGTCTCTTGAAATATTTTTAAAATGTCCTTGTTCTTTAAAAGAATCCTTTCCATCCAAGAACATCATCAGAAAGAGGACACTGGGTGAAATCTTTAATTGATTCAGAAGCCAGATAAAATTAGCAAAATATACAATTTATTCAAAATATGTCAATGCAGCCATCAATATACTCCAGTATTTACAAAATCAGTAGTTCTTTTTCCTTCATGATTTCATTACTAGACAAACGTGCAGTAAGCACAAGCAATGATCTGTGTACAGTTTAAAACACGTCACCATCGCTTCCTGACCAAAAGCACTTCAGTCTGGATGAATTTATTTAAATACCTCAGTAGTTTGCAGCAGATCTTAGGTCAGTTGATGACAACTGACTCGTGTTTGTAAGGAAACAAAAAATGAGCACAAACATTTTGATCTCAGGTGATAGCTTCTTAATTAGATTAGATTGAAATTTCATACAGATTGCAAGGATTCCGTAGAGAAAATGTGAATCAGTTGTTTTTAAATCTCAAATTAGATTAAAAATGCTTCTTTTTAAAAACTGACTACTTCAAATGGGTCTGAAAGATTTGACCTTTCACCTCTGAATGTTCTCAGGTGATAGCTTCTCATTCATCCAGATTCAAATGTGCTCCTCTCTAATGCATACACAAATACCACCAGAACAGAGGAGATGCAAAAGTATTTACAAACCCATTTATACACGTGTTTTGACACTGTACACTTTATTGGGATTGGGGTAGCAGAATGGCATTATGGGTAATCACATTGGCCACCAAAAGAAAAAAAAACTAACTTTGTAAATGTATTTAACTCTTTGGCAATTCAAACAAGACAACAGAGATGCTACTAGATTTAAGGAATAGTTCAGCATTTCTGGAAAGTATGTTTTAAGCATTTGATCCCAGTAGAGCTGTAATGGCAAAACTGGAAAACAAATTAGCTTCAAATATTTTTTAAATAAGAAAAGAAGATATGTCACATGTGTATTCATGAGGGCTGCATTCTACACCTGAAGCTGCACCTGCTGGTTCTTTAAAAAAACTGTTTCTTTTGGAGACTGGGTGTCAGATCAGGTAACATACTAAGATTATTCTCAAATAAGGAGCCAGAATTTTTATTTCACTGGAGTTTGAAAAACTGAAATGTCCTAAATTTTATGTTTACTTAGGAAATGAGGCCCATCACTTAAATTTTGATATTTACTGCGACAGTAGTTACAATTTAGCTTGAAATAAATGATATGATGTTTAATTGTTTAATTTGGTCTCATTCTCTTAGGTAGCAAGACAAGACCACCTGTAGTTTTACATCTGTTCTTGCTCTGCTGAAATTAACAATATTCTCTAAAATTGATGGTAATCACATGATTTGAGTCATTATGTCAATATTTGGCTTTTAGTATTAAAACCTGTTTCTGATGGGAGGGTTTAGTAACACACACACACACACACACACACACACACACACACACACACACACACACACACACACACACACACACACACACACACACACACACACACACACACACACACACACACACACACACACACACACACACACACACACACACACACACACACACACACACACACTTCCAAAAATGAAACTTGTCCTTTACTCATTTTTGACTGACGAGTTTGTGTTTTGCTCTGGAGACACGAGGCATTAAGACTTATATGACAACATTTATGCATTTTTTTAGACAATAAATTTGTGCATATTTTTAAAAACTCGTCACAAACTTGTAGTAATTCATGACATAACGTTTACAGCTTCTATTATCACCACAAATACAGGGACTGGAGAGGATTCAGCCACACAATGGCCATCAAAAACAAAATTAAAACAAATAACACGGTTATTTGTAGACACAAACATGGACCCATCCCTACAGGATGGCTGGATTTAACAAAATGTACAAAAAAATCTCGACTTGACTTTAACATCTGATTGACTTTTATCTTTTCTGCATCAGAAGGTGCGTTGTCCCCCTAAAATCACTATTCTTCCAGCTCATCTCATGCATTCACTCTCCACACAAATAATAAATACACTCAACTTTAAGAACCAGAATGCCTTTATACATTACAATAATCTCATAAATAAAAAAATGCACAGCAACCACGTTTGTTTAAATTACCTAAAAAAGTGAAGACAAAGTGGATTTTTACTAAATAAAAGCATGAACTATTAGTTTAGGGTGGCTGTGAGAGGATAGTGGTGCTTTAGTGACAGTTGTAAACACAAGTGCAGTTATTTCACTCTGATCCACTACAGAAGTACACTTCTCGGTTAGTTTAACACTGTTTTCTGGCATTTGTCACCTTTTGCTGTTAAACACACAGATGTCGCACGCCACTTCCTGCTACATTTTGTTGTTTTCATCATGAGGCGCAACACAGTGCTGAACAGGTATCCTAGAAAACTCCACGATGGCTTTACAATTAATTTGGAAATGCTGAAAAAGAAGAAAGTTGTTGTTGGACGTTATTTTTCTGGAGGAAATGATAAAAGGTCTGATTCTGATGGGTCTGAGATTGGTTTCTCCTCCACCGTTTCAAATCTCAGACTCTTTAAAAAGAAACCATTTGCAAAAACACGTATTCTCATTCTCCTTGGTTGTTAAAAAAGGAACAAAAACAGCTGCTTAACAGTTTGACCTTCTAACCTTATCAGGTATCATCTTTCAACACATCTGCCTTTGGGCAAGGCAGCAGGAGTTGTCAACATGAAGATGTTTTTAAACTTCTAGACAGTTTCCTGTAGAAGAACAGGATGTCTACGTCAGGAATTCTCCTCCTTTCCTTCCTTCCTCTCATTTACTTCCTGTTTCATCAGCAGTCACATGACCAAGGTGCTACGACACACAGCAGCAGGCCCGCGCCTTCGGCTGCTCCTCCTCCATGGGCTGTTTCAACTTGAGGAGGGGCGGGTCTCCGCTGGCTGGCGTGTAGTAAACCGAGCTGCCATTGGAGGAGACCAATGGCATCCGAGGATCTTCCGAGAGGCTTTTGGTATCAGAAAAGGAGTCTGTGGAGCCGTTGCCAAGGTAGCCGTTGAACAAGGGGTGATTCAAAAGTTTGGCTGCGGCCCTCTGTTTCTTCAGCTCCGACAGAGTCTGAGCACGCTCCTTCGGCGTAGAGTCCTCCTGGGAGGGCTGAGTGGTGATGACCACCCCCTTGTTAGATGATGCTGTGCTTCCATTGGCTGGAGACGGAGGTGGGATGGACGTTGTCGTGGTGACGAGGCCATTCTGTTTGCTGCTGCCATCTTTGAGGATGGTGGGCAGCATGGATTTGTCTGGCAGCTCCACTGCGACAACAGGCTTGAGCTGCAGGATGATAAAAAAAATATCTGACTCTGTCCAAATGACACTGGACTTCCTGAATCCTCCATTTTATCTATTAACGAGATGTTTCATGTCATTTTCAGCAAATCGCTTGATCTAAAAACTGTTTAAGGGAAAGAAAGGCCATGTCTAAAGTTGATAATTTGCCTCTGCAGATTAGTGTTCCTCCTGGGTGGCTGCTGAGTACTGGAGGAAGTCCTTGTTCTATAACTCTTCACACACCGCCACCCAACCTGACATTTATGCTCAGATTGTTATCATTCATGCTTTCTAGCACTCTATATTAGTCACATCGTCTGATAATGCACGTGCAGGAAGCTGGAACAGGAAACACCCCACAGAATCCATTTCTTCTTCTCCTAATAAACAGTAAACATGAAGCTCCATCATCAGAGAATCTGGGTTAGTCACCTGATTATTCTCCTGATCAGACTCTTTCTCCTTCTCCACCTCCTCCTCCCTTCCTCCCCTCCACACGATGGCCTCAGTCTCGTACTCTTTCCGACACAAGTTGTGTCGGTCCGACAAACTGGCTCGTCGAACCACTTTTCTGTGAACAGAGATCCCAAGTCGTCATTTTGCTTTTTATTCACCAACTCATCAGACGTAGTTAGAGATCAGACTGCAGTAGCAGCGGTCTGGCCAGCAGATGTCAGCACTCACCCACGACTGCCTGCGCTGGATGTCCGTCTGCACAGTGAGGTCTTGTGTTTGAGCTGTGACTTCAGGATCGTGTCGTGTTTGTGTTTCAGGTCCAGCAGAATGGCTCTGAACTCCTCATCCTCACACAGATCTGAAGGGACATAAAGGAAGGACCTGGTATGTCAGCTTGTTCCCAATAAAACCAGACACTTTAGGTATCTCAGACTCAGGCGTACCTATGGGAGTCTCTTCCAAAAAGGTCTTGGCGTTGAGACTGGCACCATGCGAGGCCAGCAGCTCTGCCACATGCATCTGAAACAACAGCAGCACATGACTTTGATAAGTTTCAGCAAACCTTTGTGTGCACGTTGTTTTTGTCTCATGTGTCCTGTTTTGTTTACCTTACCTGACCCCAGCAGGCTGCAGCATGAAGGGGCTGCCATCCATCGAAGTCTCTCAGGTCCATGCGAGCCCCCCCCTCCAGAAGCAGCTCTGCAGCCTGCACGTAGCCATTAGCTGCTGCAATGTGAAGCTGCAAAGTATAAAACAGGAAGGCTGATTTGAGTTCAACAGCAATTACTACCGGTTTACTCATATCTCAATTTGTTCTGTGGTTTTATGCTTCCTGCGCTGAGAATGATACGTTTGTAATTATTGATTAAATAATCTGTAGGTTTTTGAGATCCATGTGTAACTGAGAACGATTTAACTTCATAACGTTAAAAAGTTCTGTTCGGGCTAATTGCTTGAATAGATCCATTCACACAGCAGCACTGTAGAGCAGATTCTGCTGTCTAAAGCCACTTCACCCTGCAGTTTCTTTCAGGAAACCTTAAAAGAGGACAGAAAAGTGTAGAGACGGCTTCAGTGCACACACCTGTTTCTCACAACAGGATTTTAAATCATGCCTTGACACTTTGACTCCTCTGACCTACCATTAAACCACTCATTGCAAATTTGTATCAGGTCGACTATTATTTATTATAAATTCAAACAGACAGCATGAATATTTTTATATTAACAACAGTAGACAGGGTGGGGACCGGATAAAAGCTGAGGCCCAAATTCACGAAATGATTGTGTCTATTCCACATGCAATTCAGTGTTCTGCATCCCCATCTAATTCTGAGGTTCCTTGCAGAGGGGCGCTGTAGCTGCTTCATGTACAAAGCTGCACCAGAGTCTCCCTGCGCTGAAGAGATCTGTGGGCATTTAGTTAAGGTATTTGAAGCTCGCTTTCACTGAGAAACCATGTAAATCTTGTTTAATTTGAAATATGAACTGAGTTTTTCATGCAGTGAGTTTCATGGCTGTTGCCAGGCAGAAAACAGCAGCAGAGGATTCTAGATGACAGGTGAAGACGAGTCATACACAGTAAATTCATAAGATGATAAGTGCATTTCACTCTAATATCGAGTTGTTTATAATTGAAAAAATTAGCTTGAGATATTTTTTAGAACGGATTATTTGTAATTCACTGTTAAAATTATTAGCTCAACATTAGCCTCTAGCTTGCTTCTACATAAGAGTAAAAGAAAAGGATGGCAGGGCTTCTTAGGGATACGGCAGGGACAGACCATGCACAGTGGAAACAGAAGCAGTACGATCTTAGGGAATCTGCCTGTGAAAGCTTTAGCATCACAGGAAAAAATGGATCATTAATGTTTACAGTCATTTATTCATGCAGTTTATGAAAGGTTGGAAAATATTGATTCCTGAACTCAAGAATGTTGCGTTTGATGGACTAATTATGAGAAAACTTGATGCCAGCAAAGGTCATATTTTCAAAAGCTTGACAACATCTTTATTTTTATCATCCAATCTGAACAGCAGAACACAAAAAATATTAAGAAGGTTGAGTCCAGAATTCATCACTGCCTCCCTGATCTTTCATTATTTACTAGCTACTTATTTGAGGAGCTCCCCCCACTACAGGTAGCTCTACCCTTCTAGAATCAGACTTTAAAGTATTTTGCAATGTTGGTACAAAACACATATGAAATCTTTTCAAAGTGAACAGGCAACAGGGGTTCAGCTGTGGTCAGCACAGGAGAAACGGTAAACCTATCAGTTTATGAATTATGCTCTCTGATTTGATATCCATGCACATGGACGTCCTGCCTGCGTAATAAAGATAAGATGGTTGCTGCCTATGATTCATTTAACTTCTGTCTTCAGCACTGTTGGTGACGGTTTCTCTGACCCATCAGCTGTCTTTACGTGTCTGTTTTGTTTCAGCTCAGCTCATTTTGGTTGAGGCCATGCTTTAAAACCGCGTGGTACCAGGTGGCACCTACAATCAGCAGGAAAAAAACAGGCAGTCGAATGGAGCAACGGCAGCCGGTGATGGGGGCCAACCAAAGTATGTAAGGAATGTTAAGGTCAGCCAGGTTATGGAGGGTTTATCTGTGTCTGGTTTTAGGATTAATGGCTGACCCCCTGACAGAGACATCTCTTTAGGAATGAGGTTTAGAAAAAGAGTTATTATTTTGTTAAGAAACATTTAAAATAATGAAAGGCAGGAGGGTTGGCAGTTTGGGGTTTCATCCTAAGCAACAAAATAAACTGAAAACAGGGAAAATAGGAAAGAACCACATGTCCGGTGTAAGAGAGCTGCTACTGGAGGAGCAGGTGCAGAGAACCTCATAAACAAATAAACATTAATTTTCAGACCTATATTTTCCCTTACTGAACAATAAGTGTAATTCTGCCGATTATCTACTTTATGTTATTTGTATTACATTCATTTGAACGTTAAACATCAAAAACCAGCTAAGGAAAAATATGGATGTATTTTGATTTAGCAGTTAAAAATGACAGCAGTCCAATTACATTAAACAAATCTCTAAAGTCTGCTCAGCAGCTTAACTCTAATTTGTTTGATTGAAACTTTTTTTTTTTTTTGAAGCACATGAATGTTTGTGTGGGAGTGTGTGGAGGAACCCCAGCAATACGAAATGCCCTCATGGAGTCTCCGACTCCACAAGGAGCTAAAGCTGGTCGGGGTCAAAGCGAGGTGCAGAGTGGAGTCGCTCTAAGCTCAACGTAAACATCAACAAGCTGCAACATCTGGGCCACAGTTCTACACACATCCATGCAAAACGAATAAATATGTTCGAACAGAAAAGCCTGGACACGGTTGAGACGTTAATAATAGAAGGTCCGATTGTGGCAGTCAAATTATTCTTCCACTGGGGGAGGATATGATCAACGGAGCCAGATTTAACAGATTTACCTTCCCCACACTGGATTCAAAACAAACAGAAAATGTTGACCTCGTGCTGCAACTAGGATAAAAAATAAAGGATTGAGTCAGATTTCTGTCCGGATCAAGCTCTCGTTTATAAGTCATGATGCAGTTGCTTTCATCATTCTAACAAAGATCAACAGGATGCATAAAGCAAAGGGACAAGCCGCTCAAATCTGTGGTACGAATTCAGAGATTAACCGGGTTATTTTGGGATGAAACCATGCGTTTCAGCACCGTCGCTAAATCCATGATGCATAATAAAGACTCCATTTAGGTCTCCGACATTATACATCCTTCTCAGGAAATTATATGCAGATGATCCATTTTGAGCCCTGTTTGAATGCATCACTGCTCTGAATGGCTAAACAAGTTCAGGGACCAATTTATGCACTACACCCCTTAATTAATACACAGAGTGCTGACTTACATAAACATGGAGTATTTAGGGAATGATGAATTGGGCTTTTCCAAGGTTTTATTCTCAAGCATGCTGGAATTCTTTCCAATATTTGCTCAAACAGGTATTGCCTTAGCATTCACAAACCTTGCTGTTCAGTTAGATTTAAAGGTGCGTTATATCATGGCGTGACATCAGATTGACTTACATTAATTAAAATAATTTGAAAAACGTACATTTTAGTGACAAAGTGTTGGAACTAACGGTGTTATTTCTAATCTCAACATCAGATCTCTCTGTAATTCCTTTTCTGTATAGCAATAATGTATTTTATCCTAGCACTAATTGCATATACATTACAAATGAAGACATCAACAGCTATGTTGATATAAAAGTTATAATTGAGGATATCAATAACAACAACTGTACTAGTAGGAATTAAGTTTGAGATGTCCCAGAATCCCTAAAAACCTAAAGGTGGCCTTTTAAACATTTATTAGGCAGACTGGATACGTTTAATTCCATTGTTCCGAGCAGAAATTACATTCCAGATATCCACATGAACTGTAGAACATGAAAGTAACATCAGTTATTTTAATAATTACTTTTGCAATGTGGTAACTCAGTTACTAACTCAATCACTTCTTGGAAAAGTCATTTGTAAATATAACTAATTACTTTTATAACATAAGATGCCAAACAGGCTAAATGTGTGTTTTTCCATTTCTCCTTATTGCCCATTTTTACCACTACGTGTTCACTACATTTTACTACTTTGAAGCGAGTATTTAGGTGAAAATCAGCATGAGATAACTTGTGTATGAGCAGAGTGCATTTGACTTGCTTTTGAGAAGATTATGACCGTCTGATGCCTGATTAGCTCTGAAGGGTTTAAATCCTCCTGAGACGCTGCTGCACAGGACAAATGTAAGAGTGCATTCATAATGAAGATTGTTAAATTTTCATTTTTACGAAACACTTTTTGTTCTTCTTGCGGCGTGTGTGGGCAGAAAGTTACCCAGAACCTTCTCAGTGGGATAACGCTAATTACGGGCCTCGCATCAGTTGGTTTGATGTTGCTTGATCTCACTTAGAGGCTTATGCTCAGTATTAGCAATCAATAGCTTAAACTAGCCCACCTGCAGGAAAGAGTTTAACTACTGAACCAATAAATATGATATGGCCTTCAACATAATAATTTTAATGGGCTCTTACAGGTTACATTATTTATTTAGCTGAATCTCAGCTGAAATGTATAACTAATGAGCAAAAATTAAGATTCCTACAGTTTAAAGAACCACTGTTAGCAGATATGTGAGCATATTCTTCTGCATGACATCATCAGTCCCATAATTCTGTGGAGGGCCTTTGCTTCAATAGACGAGTCGTCATGAACAATTGCCTTTAGGTTTCAGTCAGATTGAACTTTAACTTTTGCTTTTTGCTGCTGTGTCTGTTATGAGGGACATTCTTGTGCCACGACTCAGATCTGACCAGGCTCTTGGACAGATGGTCTCATATTTGATTCTACGATAGTCTGGTTAGTTCTGGAAAGTTTATGGTTGATTTGCTGAGGTGTACGAATTCTAAGGCAAAAAAAAAAAAAACCCAAGTCATCAGTTGCTACCACCATGCTTGACAGTTTTAGAGCTCTCATTCCCTAATGTTTATATGAAACTGCTGTGGTGTCTACTATGAATGAATACCTTGAGTACCTTTCAGTGGAAAAAGAGCTCTGGCGCTCCTGTTTTAGAAAGAAGAAATTAACCGCAGGACTGGGGATTGGGAAAACAGCAGGATTATGAGTCTTACTCATTAATACTCATTTATTTCTACAAATTAAACTCTAACTGCTAATGCTAATGGTTAGCTTCTACTAGCTCTCTCCTGGCTGCTACATCAGCACAGCCATCCCCGGTCTGAGAGCCAAAGTTCCAAAGACAGTTTTCAGAGTGACCAATCCTATTTGAAAAAGAACGAGTACTGCACGGTTCCTCAGTGAATGAGATACTTAAATAATCTGTTGATATGCCGTCAATCACCAGCACTATTTGCATGTCTGTCTGTACAGTAAACATTTACACAAAATCCTAAAGACACCAGATTTTACATTCTAATGTTTATATGAAGCAATAATGAGGGGTTTGAACTTTAAAACTCATTTGAACAGCTGCTTACCAGCGCGGCTCCCTGACAGTCCTGCTGGTTGACCTCTTCTCCTCGTCTCAGCAGTTCCTGAATGTCCTCTATCATCCTCCTCTCTGTGGACGCTCGCGTCTCATTGATCATCTCCTGGGTGATGCCTGTCAAGAGAGCCAGCCGAACAGATGTTAATCAACCAGTACAGATTTTTTAGGGGGTGGGGTCAGGTTTATGTACAACTGTAGCCGACAGGATCAGAAAGACATCTTGGGTTTAATCCATCGTCCTGCTGCCTCACAGCTCTAACCCACAGTCATATTCTAGGGTAGAAGCTTTTGTGTGAATGCAGCCTGTCTGTAAGTTTTATTGTGATATTGACTAGTTTTGGTTTCACATGATCTAAAGGTAGAAGATGACATCATCCTCTGCTGCCCACACAACAACGGTGACAGAAGATTCCAGAATAACACTTGTGGATGCTCTGTGGAAGGTGACAGAAGAATCAGAAACTCTCCATAAAAACTGCTTTTTGCTACTCTGTGTGTGGATGTAAGAATCGGAAAAAGATTTGAAAAAGAATACAGAATGAATATAATGAAGATGCTACTGCAACGCAGGGGCGGATTAAGGACTGAAGAAGATCCGGGGCTTAACACACACACACACAAACACGTGCGCGCGCACACACACACGTGTGACACGCACTAGTCAACATCATATATATTTGTCTTGTACCACATCATTTTTAATCTGAAGCTACAAATTAAGCATATTCAAGGCAGAGTATTGTTCCTGCTACCCCAAAATTCCACTACCTCCGCTCCGGCACTAACTCTGCAGCAAAAATGGTCCCGTTGTAGTCAATCAGAGCTGTTTCACTACTGCGGCCGTGCGGCGCAGTGCGCCGCCGTTCCGTCATCCAGCAAAAATAGGATCGATTCTATTTTTGCCGGATGCCAGAGCACCTCCGCAGTCAATGGACAGAAATCACATGCCTGTTTGCGCACCTCAGGTCTCTGCACCGGAGCGGAGCCGTTGTAGAGCGGGTATAGTATAATTTGAGTTCGGAAGCAAGCGGCAGCAGAAAGCGGGGGTGGAGTGGAGATAGTGGAATTTTGGGGTTAGTGTTTAGTGTGAGATGATAGTAAATATTCCCTTTCTTTCTCCATCAACTTTACCTAGTAAGCTAACTTTAGGCAAACCAGCAGCACAACAAATATTTTCAAATAAGACTCACAAACCTGAGTCAACACCAGTCTCATCAAAGCTGGGGTTCTGTTGTGGTACTTTTGGTCTAAAAAACGTCCTTATGTCCATCTTCACTCATGCGTTTCAGGCAGAGTGTAGAAGAAACCAGGCACTGCAGAAGAAGCCAGCTGCTGAAGGGCTTCTTCTTCAGTGGTGGAGGCTCAGGCAGGCTGTATACAAACTACTGCTAGCTGCTCCCTCTCTGTTGGACTTTGGTACTGCATGTTACTTCCACGTTTGAGATCCGGGGCTTTTCATTAAAGATTCGGGGCTTGAGCACAAGTAGCCGGGCCTAACGCCGCCCCTGCTGCAAAAATTGGTCTAGATTTCAAGGCTACGCTTTGGTTTTTTATTCAAGAGAAAGCCCAAACGGAAACACCTGAAATAAATAGAAAAAGCAGACATGCATCACCTGGCTGCATATTTTATCTTCCAGATTCAACTTCACAACATCTCGTGTGACTAATGAATGTGCCCACTCACTCAGTCCTTCCAGGACTCCATTTTTTAACTTAACCTCTGCATTTGTGTCACGCTCATGATTAAAGGAAAAGCCTGCACCAGTGTCAGACGGTGATTGCGAATGAAGGGAAATGAATTTACAATCAGGGTTTAGCCCGAGGGTGCTGAGAAGAACAGGAATCAGGACCTTTTGTGGTTTTCATGCATTACATTTCCCTTTCTTCCTTTTTCTGGGAGGAATTCTGTTCTTGTTAGATTAGCAACTATATCAACGTTAAACTGTTTCTCTCTGAAAGTTCGGACTGATGGTTCGCTGCAGGTAAGTAACAACATTTCTTCTCACACTACATAAAAGTCACTGAACTTATCTTTCCCTAAAATAAATTATTCGTTTAATAAGTCAAAAGTAATTTTTTCTGTCATTTGTACAAAAGCCATAAAATCAATTTATAAACACAAAGCCTGATTAATTGGTGTCCTCTTGGTCACTTGGCACTGTAGCGTCCACAAATGGTCAGTTTTTCTTGTACAGTTTGACCTCTTAAGTATATGGTCATATGGAGACAGGAGTCAACATTTGTTGCCTTTAATCTGCTGGATACTGCCATTCCATCAGCTGGAGTCCGGGCCTCTCTGCAGCTCTGAACACATGATAACGTATTGTCAACATCATGTTCCCTTCTCATGGTTCTTCTCTGCCAAGCCTGTCTGCTTATCTAGGCTGTCCTTCTCAGAATAAAGGACTGAACCGTTATAATAGTGAATGATCATATGGTTGAATGAACAATAATGGTTGATGAATAATAATGTTTTGATTAATCTGTGCTTAAATTAATAAGGTTGATTAATCTGTGCTTGAATTACTGAAGTTGAAATAAATATTATTATGATGATCAGTAATGTTTGGTTTAACAAGTGACTCATTATCTACACTCAGACACAATGTTCATTAGATAAATTAAAGTTTAAGTAACGTTTAATGAGAAGTTTGAGAAGTTTAATGAGAAATTAAAATCAATAGTACAATATAATGGTATAACATAGAAACATTTGCAGGTTTACAAGCAAACACACAACTTACACAATGCTAAGAATGGGCGCAGGCAGAAGCATAAGCTTATAAGCCCAGCCCCCCAAACCCTTTGAACTTAAACAAAATTTGAGAATAGCATACCGATTCCATAATTTTTACATCATGTTTGAAATGTATGGGAATATATTCAAATCCCCATTCTAGCTTTATAAAAAAAAATAATAATGACCTTTAATGTTTTATGCATTTTTTTCATTGACTTGATTCATAATATTTAATCACATTAGATTTAAACATACCCTTAAACTTTACCATTGTTGAACAATCTTTTTGCTCCTTGTCTAATTTATTCCACACATCAACCCCAACACAAGAAATACAAAGTTGTTTCATTTTAGTTCTTACTTTAGGCTTTCTTAACATTTCATACCCTCTGAGATCATGAACACTCTCTGATCTGGAACAGATCCTGAATTTGTTTTGGCATCAAATTATACATCACTTTATACATAAATTGTGCAGTTCTTAATGTAACTAATTCTTTTAACTTTAATTCTTTTAAACGAGTAAAAAGTAAATGTGTATGCTCTCTACAAGCTGCTTTATTTACAAGTCGAATTGCTCTCTTCTGAATTATAAACAAAGACTTTAAGTGGGTTTCGTAGGTATTTCCCCACACTTCAACACAATACATGAAATATGGCAAAATTAAGGAACAATACAAAAGATATAAAGCTTTTTCAACTAAAAATTCTTTAACTTTATAGAGAACTGCTAATGATTTCGATAACTTTGCTTTAATTGAGTCAATATGCGGTTTCCAACTTAACTTTTTTCTATGGTTACGCCAAGAAATTTTATTTCATTCACTCTTTCAATTTCTGTATTATTTATTTTGAGATGTGTATCCACTGTAATTGCTCTGTTAGTAAATATGATAAATTTTGTTTTATTTAAATTTAAAGTTAATTTATTTAAGTTAAACCAACATTTTAATGCATTTAATTCTTTCTCAACCTTGTCCATTAATGTTATTAAATCTTTCCCAAAACTTAGAACATTAGTATCATCTGCAAATAGTATGAAGTGCAATGTTTTAGAAACTAAACATATGTCATTAATATAAAGAATAAACAACAAGGGACCCAACACTGACCCCTGTGGGATACCGGTGGTCACTGTCAGTAGCTGTGAATCAGTGTTGTTAATGTGGACATATTGGGAGTCTGTTCTCTAAATAACTCTTAATCCAGTCATAGGCCACACCCCTAATGCCATATCTACACAATTTTTTTTATTAATAAGTCATGATTAACCGTATCGAAAGCTTTGGTCAGGTTTAAGAACACCCCAACAGCATATTGTTTGTTGTCAATTGCATCAGATATTTTCTCGACTAGATCAACAATTGCCAGAGAAGTTGTCCGATCACGTCTAAAACCATATTGCTGTTCAGAAAGAATATCATGATGCTCAATAAAGTCATACAATCTTTTATGAAATATTGTTTCTAGTATTTTGGAGAACTGAGATAAAATAGAAATTGGTCTATAATTAGAAAAGTCATGTTTGTCTCCAGCCTTATAGATGGGAATTACTTTTGCAACCTTCATCCTTTCAGGAAATCTTCCTGATTGGAGAGACTGGTTACAAATATGTGTAAGTGGTTTGGCTATAATCTCAATGATTTCTTTTACAACAGACATATCAAATCCATGTAAATCTGCTGACTTTTTACTTTTAAATGTTTTAACAACTGTTATAACTTCATTTTCATTTGTGCCTTGAATAAATATGGTTTTATCTAAATTTGTTATTTTACTCACAGCATCAGCATCTAATTTAGTATTTGATATATCCTTTGCCAAATTTGGCCCAATTTCGGTAAAATACTTATTGAATTCATTTGCAATTTCTTTAGACTGATAAATTTCTTGATTGTCTTTTGTTAGAAAAATATTTGGAAGCCTATTGGTGCCACTACCCTTTTTTATTACATCATTTAATATGCACCACGTATTTTTAATGTTAGATTTATTTCCTTCCAATAATTTGCTATAATAATTTCTTTTACTAGATCTCATAATACTTATTAATTTATTCTTGTATATCTTGTAATTCTGTTCTGCTTCCTCCGTTCTTTTCTTTAAAAAAGTCTTTATACAGCTTATTTTTTTCCTGCAAGCCTTCTGAATCCCCTTAGTTATCCACGGCTTTTTAGCATATTTATTCTTATCCACCTTATAAATCAATGGACAGTTTTTTTCATAAAGAGAAGTTACAATATTAAAAATTTTCCATAAGCCATATTTACATCTTCCACATAAACCTCCTCCCAATTTTGTTCCATTAAGTCAGTTTTAAATGAATTTACTGCTTCTTGATTTTTTTAGCCTTGTAACAACCACAGATTCACTT